CGCAGGATAACCTTGGTGAGCTACTTCTTACATAGGAGCTTGTTTGCAGGCAGCTCCCACTTGGCACTGGCCACCAGAACGGCCTTGTCTTTATCTCAGAGTGAACATGCACATTCCCATATAAGCACATTTTTGTTTGACAGCAGCAGTAATGATGAGAATTGTTTACTCTACAGTGCTCCACCATTCAATCATCTAAAGGGACATGAGATCATTTATCCTCTTAGCTTCAATATGAGGTATTTTAATCAATACCATGTTTTTTTCTTACTGAGAGCAATAATGAATTCTAGTACCAGAGCTGCTAGCATTTCCCACAAGTTGTTTGCATGTCTACATCCTTACTTTGCCCAGAACGTCCACCCTTCTGGATAGAGAAAAGAAAGATTTCTAACTTGTGTAGAGACTATATACCTGAAATTCAACCTCATACACTGATCTATTCTTCCCATGACAAGAAACATTATCAGCTGAAAGTTAAGTACAAAATAGGTAGCGTTTGTCTAGATTATATTTATGCTTCATTAATTTTGAACGTAACATTAACCCTGATCACCTACACAAATCATTTAAGTTGCTGGGAAAGTAGATTCAAGACTGAGGGATGGCCTTTCAGTACTTAAATATAGCCTCCAGTAATCTACACATCCTTTAAAACCTTCATTTCCAGAAAATGAGACAAGGTCAAAATAAGTAACAACTTTCTGCTTAAGGATACTGAACTTAGAAGATTTTTACAGGGATGGTATATAGTGTATGGACGTAAAAGAATTACCCACCATGCAGCAGAAGGACAAAGGAATCTTTTCAGAGCCAAAACTGACTTCCCTTGCTATTGCTATAGTGATCTTTCTGCCAACCCATACTAGTCAAAGGAGGCTCCAGATTGTCTTCTACACAAGAGAAAATTCTTTTTATCCATAACGATGCTGTAATTTTTTCTTAACATAAGCAGTAACATGCAGAACAACATGACAAGTGTCACATCAGGGATGAGCAAAAGGGATGGAACAGCTGTATAGTATGTATGTATGTATTGCTAAACATCATTAAACCATCTCTGCATCTGGAGTTATTTCCAAGTTTGCTTATGTACACAAGTACACAGTTACTTCTGGACATATGTATAGATACGAACATATGAATTACGGAAAACTTACTCTATTCTTTTTCCCACAAAAGAGCATATTTAGTTACTAAGGAATCCTGTCTACAAGAGTCTAGAACATGAGTTTATGATATTCTCTTACTCAAACGTATCTCCCGAATCTTCCACTCTTCCTTTACTTAGAACTTTGCACCACAGCTTTGAAACAAACACAATCCTCTTTTTAAAAAACAAAGGACAAAACTAATTACTTTTAATTCACAGTGCCCTAGAAAAATCCTTACTTCCAAGTGTTCTTCCACCCTAACCTGTGCCCCACTACACATATTTAATCACGCAAAACATGCCACAAGTAACTCCTTCAATCAGCAAGCTGACATCTGTCACTGACTAAAAAGCTCTCAGAAGTTCCAACGTGACCTAATTTGTAAACTCAAGGGCAACATATTGAAGACTCTTCCAGAAAGATCTATGCATATGTTATACTCAAATGTCTCATTTTTATTGCCACTGTTGCACTATAGATACTCAATGCATCGTATTTCAGTAATGCATTGGCTTCGAACTTTCATGCGGAAAGCTGACAAACTAAGAAAGTCAGTAAACTTCTATCCACAAGGCAAATTGAGCTAGAAATTAAGAATTTTTTTTTTTTTTTTAAAGTTTCCTCCAGTCACTACATCATTGGCTGAGAATATTAAAGTATGTGAGTTTTTATATGTCTCAGTTGTTTAGGGAAAGAAACTTAAAGTTTAGAAGAAATACTTGTTTTGCAAGCCTACTTCCCTATAAGATTGTTGAAAAAAATCAATTCAATGCCTAGAAGCTGAAAAACAAAAGTTACTCACAACATTACAGCTCAGAACACGATATGGAAGAAAAACATTCTGACAAAAATTTTGTTTCAGAGAACAGCTTAGCACATTACCTACAGGCTTTCAATGAAGAGAAGAAATCCCTAAAACCACAAAGACAAAATCAAATTCCATTTTTAAGATCTTAAAATGTACTTGTATTCTAAACATTGTATTTTGTTTATGTCACATTTTCCCATTACAGAAATGCTAAATGGGAGAGTAAATCATCAGAATTGATAGCTAAGCAGTTTACTGTTCTGTGAGAGATTACCAGTCTTCTTCCTACAACATGCAGTTGTAAAAATAAATTTACCATTATGTGAAATAACATAAATAACATGAGTGCATATAGTGCCACAGACTGTTCACACAGCAAGCAGTAAGGTGAGTTAAACTAGATCAGTAGATCATACTACTTAATGCCAATACTCTTTACAACTTCCATTAGATGTTATTTGAGGTTTATTTTAGACTAGATTTAGCCTTGTTCACTGGACAAAATGCACTTCTAAACATTCTAATGGAAAATTATCCCACAGATCTTCGCTCCTTCGGCTGAAAGATCTTCCAGGAAGTATCACGCTGACTCTTCCCTCTGTTTATTGCACATGGCAGTAGCATGTCAGTTCACATGACCAATAGGTAATGCCAGGAAGTTTGCATGTCCCCCGTCTGTAACAATTCCGGTCACAAAGCTAAAGTACATGCCACTGCCTTCTTGCTGAGAAAGGATATAATCATTCCTGATGTTCTCAGTGCCAATGAGTATCAGGAAAGACACTGCATACCCTTGCACTCCAACCCAGAAAATAAACCCTGACAACAATCCAACACATCTAATTTAACTACGACTTTACTGAATGCATAGCGGAACTGCAATCTACGTCTAGTCATTTGAATGACACTGGGCTATGTGGAAGAAACACTGTAAAAATGTTCCCAACACCTTCCGAATTTAGGGTATCACTTGTTACCTAAACAACCTTTGAGGACATCACTGAGATCTTTGTTCAGACTGAAATACTTCTGCAGTAAATATATGCCCATTTCGGTACTCACTTTGTCATGCATGGGGCATCCAGCAGTGACGCAGTCACAACTTATCATTCACCCTTACTTCCACCTTTCATATTTGACTGAGGTTGACTCACAAGGAAGAAAAAGATAACATAGAAATTGTAACTTCTCAGAAAGAGACAACACAGCCCCACTAGGGTTGCATCAGACATTCAGCTTCATAGAAAGCATTTTTTGGGAGGACCTCAGCTCCTGAGAAAGAAAAGCTTCAGCTAATGACCCTGATGACCATGTGAAAGCAAGTCTCTGTATGCATTCTATTACTTCAATTCATTATTACATTCCTGTTGATCTTGTGTCTGGATGAGGAGCTACGAGACATGGTTTAGTGGCTTGTGGTAGCAAGGGTAATGGGAAGATGGTTGGACTAGATGATCCTATAGGTCCTTTCCAACCTTGTGATTCTGCTCTCTTTTGTACCACTAATCATTGTGCTTTCAGCAACACGTTCCCAATGGACAGCAGAATGTTCCTGCAGTATACTTTTACAGAGGCATGAAGGCACTATTCCCCACTCTAACAGAATCACAGAAACACCAAGGTTGGAAAAGACCTACAAGATCATCCAGTCCAACCATCCACCTATCACCAATAGCTCTCACTAAACCATGTCCCTCAACACAACATGCAAACATTCCTTGAACACCTCCAGGGTCAGTGAATCTACTATCTGCCTGAGTAGCCCATTCCAGTGCCTGACCACTCTTTCAGAAAAGTAGCATTTCCTAACCGTCCAGCCTGAATCTCCTCTGGCACACTTTGAGGCCATTCCCTCTAGTCCCATCATCAGTTACACAAGAGGTCGACCCCCCACTCACTACAACCTCCCTTCAGGTAATTATAGAGAGCAGTAAGGTCTCCCCTGAGCCTCCTCTTCTCCAGGCTGAACAATCCCAGCTCCTTCAGCTGCTCCTCATAAAGCCTGTACTCCAGACCCCTCACCAGCTTTGTTGCCCTTCTTTGAACCCACTCCAGGGCCTCAATGTCTTTCTTGCAGTGAGGGGCCCAAAACTGGACACAGTACCAGAGCTGAGTACAGGGGGACAATCACTTCCCTGTTCCTGCTGGCAACACTATTTCTGATGCAAGCCAGGATGTCATTGGCCTTCTTGGCCACCCAGGCACACTGCTGGCTCATGTTCAGCTGAGCATCAATCAATATCCCCAGGTCCATTTCCTTTACACCAGCCTTCCTGCCACTCTGCCCCAAGCCTCTGGCATTGCCTGGGGTTGTTGTGGCCAAAGTGCAGGACCCGGCATTTGGCCTTGTTGAACCTTATCCCACTGGCTTCAGCCCAGCTTTCCAGCCTGTCCAGATCCCTCTGTAGGGCCTCGCTACCCCCAGGCAGATCGACACTTCCAACCAACTCGGTGTCATCTGCAAAGTTACTGAGGGTGCACTGAATGCCTTCATCCAGGTCACCAGTAAAGATATTGAAGAAGACAGGCCCCAGCACCAAACCCTGGGGAACACAACTCGTGACAGGCTGCCAGCTAGATTTAATTCCATTCACTACCATTCTCTGGGCCCAACCCTCCAGCCAGTTCCTTATCCAACCAAGAAGTGACAGTGGTGACGACCAGGTCCAGAAAGCGCTTATTCACAGCAGGGAATGCAGACTCCTTGCTCTATCTCCAGTTCAGGAACCATCTTCTGCCTTGATGCAAATCTAATAAGCTGGAATCTGTAGTACTCAGTTTTCACTTCCCACTGCAGCAATCAAGGATGAGATTACTCCTCTACATGCTACCTAAGCTTCTTGCAAAGCTATTAGAAGTGCCTCACAAACTGCATTTGTACAGTAAGCCAGTAATAGAAGAGGCCACGCCTAACGTACTATGTTAAAATACCTTAATTTTGACATAAGCTGAAAATGGAAATTTGAGAGAAAAACAAAATTTCCTAATTCCACACTGCACTCGTTGTAGAAAAGTCCAAGTTGACAGTACACACTTACCTCATACAAAACTGTAGGATTCCCATGAAGAAGAGGCCCGTAGCAAATGTAAGAATGACCAACTACCCAGCCTAAATCAGAAGCTGCCCACCACACCTAAAATGAAATAAAAACATAAGAAAATGGTTGTTTTTATGACAAGTTTCAAAATATTTAGATGGCATTTAAACAGAATTACCTCACCAGGTTTGAGTCCATATATAGCTGACATTGTCCAGTTCAGCATAACAGCATAGCCACCTGTTGGTCTGATAACACCCTAAATGAAAATAATTTGAATATTTAAGATCATTTAAAGAATGCATTAGCATGGCTGTCTTCAGTTAAATTTTGAACAGACCTGAAGTTGTCAAATTCCAATACCTCACGCTAACTCATTAAAACGGAGACTGCTATCGCAGGTAACGATTAACTAATGTGAATTTCAGAAAGCAGGTTTCCTTTGTTAGCTTCAGTTTCTAACTTAGTCTTCGCTCTGAGATTAACAAAAGTTTTGTTAGGAGGGTACCATAACTGAATAATTTTACTTGTGTCATTGTTAGAACGAAATCATATCTATGGACATGTGATAGTGCCTCTGAATTTGTGACAGTTAAATCACCGCTGGTCAACTATATTCAGATCATTTTCTATGCTTCAAAAAGAATTTTAAGAACCCAATAAATATGCAGAGTTTGCTTTTAAAAATAAATCATTAAGACTAATTGACACTTGAAAGCAAAGATTTTCAAATAATGCCCTTCCCAATCTAAACCTTCATTTTCATGGGAATTATATCCTCAGAACTGTTCAGAAACACAAGCCTTTAGAAGATGCCTAATTCCACTTAATCTGTAATGTCATCCATTACATCTTATCTATGGGAAGACTAGCTAATATGTAAGTAATGAATAAGCAAAGCTATTCAGCAATAAATGTTATCATGGAAGAGATATCAACTAATCTTGCCATTAAATGCTTACTCTACACATATCTCAGTTAAAAATACAGAAAATAATCATGAATAGAAGTTATTCTGCTATTTTTAAAGGTTTATATTGTACAAGCGCTTTGAATTAAATAGTTTATTTTTATATTAATACTATTTAAATAAACATTATTTACTCCTAGACACTGACTTTGAAGTAGAGAAATATGAATAATGAGATTAAAGCATTTCTAACAATGCTCATCATTTTCAGCACTGTGCTGTGGTTGATATTTTCAACCTTTTCAACTACACATTTTCTCAAGTGGAACTGCAAATAGATTGGTCACAAACACAGTCTACAGATAGTCCTTTACCTTGGGTAAGCCTGTTGTTCCAGATGTATACAGAATATAAAGAGGATGGTCTGAAGGAACAGAGACACACTTGTAACACTGTGCTTTTGCAAGCTCTTCTTCCCAATCAAGATCACGACCTGGGGTTAGAGGAACATGCCCCTAAACACAGGAAAACAGAGAAGTATCCAAACAGAATAAAACATGAGTGGGTCAAAAACATGTATTATTCAATTTTCTGTACAGTAGCATTAGTTCTGTTTTCCACTTAAATGTTATACATTTAAAGTTTCTCCATTAAATACTAAGGCAAACTACAACACATGCATTAAAAATATTAACTACAGAAGAAAAAAGGCACATGGACTACTGCAATCAATGGAAAGAGCAACAACAATAGCAGAGTAGCAAGATTCCAGGTGCAGCAAGTGAGGATTCACTCAACAAAACAGCAGCAGGTAAAGAAATAAAGGAAAGAAGCTACTTAGCTTCAGAAGGCCTGAGGTATGCAGGAATCTTCAAAGAAATACCCTTGCCTCCACTGCCAATCCTTACATGAGGTCTCGGAAGGGGTGGTTGTCGGCTCCACCTCTTCTGGTCACTGAGGTGCACTGTATGCACCTAATATCCCCTGGGTTGGCCCTGCCTTCCCACCAGGTGCTCAATCACTGCTTCAAGCCATGACTTAACATTTCCACAACTATATACGTATCTGAAAGCTAACGTTAAGGCACTCCAACAGTACACTCACCAAGTTCGGTCGCCTGTAAATGAGAACTTTCTCAGGTTTTTTCTGTACCATTGCCAGTGCTCCTTCTAATAGTGATATGTATTCCACTTTCCTTTTTGGTTCTACTCCAAAACTTGCTGTTACGATAAGTCTGGGCTAAAATAAACAAGTTAAATTGTTCATATAGATATTTGCAATATATTTTTATAACATAAATGCAATCTAATAACATGTTTTGCATGAAATCAATCTTTACATAATTAGTACCAGGGGGTTGGATCCATTTTCTAAAGAACAAAGCATTTGTGATCTTGCAGTCCATGCCTCTACTATAATTATTTGTTTCCACAGCATGTTAGTAACTGTGACATTCTTCACCATTTTCAACCAAATTTAATAAATAAATCAATCGTATTAAGTTCTTGCAAGTTGCACAAAAATAACTGAACAGAGAGAAAGCCTCAACTTCATGCAGCCCTCCACTAAAGGAAAAGCATAGTGTCAAGTCATCCGTCCTGATTAGTCTGTTTTCTAATTACATATATACCTGGAGCCAATTAGCTACAGATCTTTGCTGGTTCTTTTTCAGCCTGCAGCTAAATAAATAACGGAGGAAAAAAATGGAGAAAAAGAAAGGTAAAGAAGAAATGAAGCTACAAATACCAGAAGAGAATAAACTAAAGTCCTAAGACACATGAGGAAATTTAAACTAGAGTCTTTCAAGTAATGGTTTCAGGACCCAGGTTGCAAATCCACTGAAGAACAGATTTCTGTTGTTCTGGGTGTTATTTTTAGACAAACTTCTATTTCAAAATGTGGATTTGGAAGATACATTTTTTTCATTAAGCCAATCTTAGGTATTACGTAAGATTTCCTAAGTCAAAAAACCTCAACTCACTGCATACAAACTATTTTGACTTAAATCCCAAGATCAGCACTTCTACTTCTTGTATTCATGAAATAAAAGGTAGTTTCTCTGGTACTACGTATTAGAAGACATTTTAATCATAGAAGTACAAGACTTCAACCTCTTTACTTTCCCAGTTTTAGAAGCGCATTTATCTTGTGCATCTTGTGCGGTTTGATCCAGCTACCCTACTAATTGCATGTATTAGCATAAATCTCATTAGGTAGGCACAAACCACAATGCCACAGTTAAGGCTGCATTAAGCTTTGCATGGAAAGTACAGATTAAATTGTTTGATTGTGCAGTAATAAAATGTTTCCTGTTCAAATCTGCCATTCAAGGAAGTTTTCTAATTAGCTGGTACTCTAAAGATTTCAGATGAACTTTAACATTTCAGCATTTGTCATCCTTTCCCTTTTGGAACGTGGTGATTTTGATTGAAGAAGATTTAATACAATGCGGTTAAACTGCAATTTCAACTAGAAGCTACTCTGAATCTAGACTGTAATTAATAAAATTTATTCTCACAGTTCTATTCAATTGTTACAATGAAAGACTTTAGTAAATGCCAGGTTTACAGTCATTTATAAATAGCATCCCCTTTGCTCATCAACTACATCACCTGCAGCAAGTTCTTTTAGACTTCCAATACTAAGTTTTCTAAGGTGATGTTTTTCTCACATGAGGGTTACTGCTTGAAAGCACCACAGATCACTGTGTGCAAATCAAAGGCTGGTTATTTTTCAAAATTATTGGTCTAAAGTTTTACCTCTCTGCCTACTGATAGTATCTCCTCTGCACATCTGCTCCTATATTGTTTTTATACATTCATTTCACACCTGTTCCATGGCTCTACATAGTCCTGCATGATAGATTAAATAGAAATAAAACTACTGTGAAGGAAAAACAAGAAAGTTTGGTGGAGAAAGAATGCCAGAGATAGTGAACTGGAGAAAAAAAAGGAAGTTGAAATGAGATAAAGCAAGGCCCAATAGTACCAGACAAGCAATATTGCTCTCCCATAGAGGTTCCCTCTACTGACTCTAGTAGGTACAAGGCAAGGTTTAGAAGAAACAATGAATGCTTTTTATTGGGTCAACTTTTTATTGGTCACTGTAAAAAGCCTAAGCTGAAAACAAACAAGCTTTGGGCACAAAATGTTAGTACTGTCATAAAGAGGCTTACAAAGAGAGCCAGCACTCAAGCACTCAGCTGTCCAATACACAAAGCTCTTTCCTCTTCTCTCCATAGACACACACATCTTACTATAAACTCAAACTTTCTATGCTTTTGTTGCACCTTCTTTCTCCTTAAAAAAGTGACACACATTTTAGAGAAATTCAGTGCTCATGCAACCATTATACACACTCTGCACCTGCTGAGCTGTATCTACACAATCCATATCATATGGTCATGCACATTTATTTCTCTCAGACACTGGACACTGCTCTACACAGGGACCTGAATTGTAATGTATTAGTAGTTAATAAAATAAAAACAAACATACAAACAAGATACTTCTAACTTACAGTGTACTTCTAAGCACGTAAAAATAAAAAGTGCTTCAAGACATGTATAATCAATGGATATTAAGAAGTTACAATCACAAAATAAACAAGAGAGTTAGGCAAAGTAGATTATGATAACAAAAGAAAATAAATGGAAGGCTTACCCTTATGCTGGGCTCACCACAAAACAGCAGAAGGAGGGATCTCCAGATGAGATCCTTCCCCACTGGTAGCCAGCTCTTAAATAGGTCTAGGAGGGGGGCAGCCTCGCTCCACCCCTTTCAGCAGCACAGGTGAATTGCCTTTACCTGTGCTCCTCTGGCTGACTCATGGCTCGCCTTAGGTGATCAATCAGAGGTTCAGGCCATGACTCAGTAGTTCCCATACAAGACAACGCAAGACAGAACTGCAAACATTATGAGCCAATTATGTATCTTACATAATAGCAGCTGAGCTTGCTGTCTAATCAAAGAGCTGTCTATGCTGAAAAAGACCTTCAAGATCATCCAGTCCAACCATCAACCTGACCTACCAAATCTCATCATTAAGCCATGACCCTAAGCACTAACACATCGCTCCTGAGTATTTCCAGGGATGGAGGCTCTACCACTTCCCCAGCCAGCCTGCTCCCATGCTTACCAGCCTTTCAATGAAGAAATTCTTTTTAATATTCAGTTTAAAACTTCCCTTTAGCAACTTCAAGCCACTGCCTCACATCCTATCACCTGTCACCCAAGGAAACAAGACTGTCACCCACCCACCTTGCTGCAACCTCCTTTCAGGCAGCTACAGTCAGCAGTGGGGTCTCTCATTAGCCTTTTCCTGATTAAATAGCCTCAGTTCACTCACTCACTCCTTTCACCAGCTGTGTTAATCTCTGCATAACAAGCAACATCCTTCTTGTAGCAAAGGGCCCAAACCTGAATTCAGTATTCAAGGTGTTGTCTCACAACACAGTGCACTACCCCAGTCCTGCCAGTCATACTATTTCTGTTGTGAGCCAGGATGCCATTGGCCTTCTTAACCATCTGGGTACACTGCCATTGACCAACACCCCCCAGGTGATTTTCTGCTGCACTACTTTCCAGTCACTCTACTCTAAGCCTATACTGCAGCATGGGGTTGTTATGATCCAAGTTTAGGACCCAGCATTTAGCCTGGCTGAATGTCGTGTGACTGGACTCAGATCATCCATACAGAATATCTAGATCCCTTTCCAAAGGGAGATCCAACCTATCCAGATCTCTCTCCAAAGTCTTTACGCTCTCATGCAGACCAACAGTCCCACTTAACTTCGTATTATCTGTAGATTTAGTAAGGGTGTCCTCAGTTCCCTCATCCACATTGATTAATATCTTAAAATACTGAATCTTGAGAAATGGCACAGGACCTGGCTTCCAGCTGGATAGAACTCCATTCACCGTGACTTTAAGCCCAGCCATCCGACCAGTTCTTTGTACAGCTATTGAAGCCACCAGCAGTCAGTTTCTCCAGGAAGAATATTGTCAGAAACAGGGTAAAATGCCTTCCTAAAATCGAGGTAAACAACATCCACAGCCTTTCCCTCATCCAAGATGACTAAGCAGGTCATCTTGTTATAGGAAGTGGCCAGGTTAAGTCAGGCAGATCTGCCCTTCTCTGTCTGCTTCTGATCACCTGACTGTACTGTATCCATCATATTATGACAAGACATAGTGGCAACCATGCATAGCCATATCTGTGTGCAGGAACTGTATCTTATTCAGAGTAAGCTACTACAAAATATTTACTCATTTTTACAAGGATGTCTTATTAATATCCCTACGTGTGTTAACTGTAAGTGAGAAATACAGTATTTCTGACCTCAGTGGAAAACAACAGATAATTCTGAATAACCTAAGTATCTCTCACATTTTTCATTTTCAAGAACTGTTGCTCACTTGCAAATCATAACACTGCTTAAGCCTCAAGAGCTTTCAAAAATCCTATCTGCAGAACTCCATTACACATATTTATTTTGGAGGACTTGTACTTAAAATCTAAAAAGCCCTCCAGAACTACTATAAAAAATTTAGTTGTTGAATGCATAGCAGCTACCTTATTAAGCAGGCAGAGAAGTGTAGTATTCTTAAAGCATTCTTCTCAGCTTTCCTAGTTTACTAAGATAAAGCCCTTCAACGTGTCATGTTGATTTCTCAAAACATAGTTAATGTTCTGAAAAAGTACCTATTATCTTGATACTGCAAAATATACACTCTCAAATTCAGATGAAAGGCAAGATAACAAGAAATGCCTCTTCTCACACTCCATATCACTTCATCACAATTCACCACAGAATATCTGTAACACTACCACTACCTGACAAGAGCAGAAATTATCAGCTGCAGAACTTTGCTGCATTCCCAAACCTACTTAAAATTCAGGATAAATTAAGGCAAGCTGGTAAATGTATTGTACTAACAGGTGTCTGTTATTTAGTTCTTCCAATAAAACTTGAAGTCTGCCCTTGCTTCCAAAAATGCCCCTTGCAGCCAACTTTCTATTCCAAGTCCTCCTTTCAAGTTAATGTTATCAAAATTAGGTCCTGTATTGCAGCACCCAGTTCACAGAAAACAGAATAATAGAAAGGCTGGGGAAGGCTGAGAATGCTTAAATTAACTTCTGAGTTCACAAGAACACTACCTATTACAGTCACTAAGATTCGTACTTTTGAGATAATCTCAGTAGTGTTGCAAAACTGGGGAAGCCTAAATAGGAACAGGCGTGTGCCTGTTCCCTTTACTTACACTTTCATTATACATCATACGGATCAAAAATAATCCAAAGTATTTAGATCTGTCTTTTAAAGAGGAAAAAAAAAAAAAAAAAAAAAAGCACCATAACACAAATTAAGATTTATTCCAGGGCCTGCAGGTAGTGATTCTATAGCTAACCATTAAACAGATTTGCTAAATGACCTTGAGTAAATAATGTAAGCAGTGCTTGTAAAGCAGTCTAAAAGTAAACATGCTAAATGATTCACACTGTAACAACTTCAATTTTTAAAGCTTTTTCTTCTACATTGTTTTTCCCTAATCAAAAACTTTTGTGTTAAGATTAATTTCAGAGCTTGTTGAAGAAGTCAGGGAGTGGGAAGAAAGAAAATCTGAGCTGTCACTACTTTCCTTCCAGCTGTTTTTCACAAGTCCAACAAAGTACTTCAGTTATTTCTTGTTATTAACTTGTTTTGTTAAAACACAAATGGGGGAGGAGGGGAGGGGAGAAGGGAGATGCATTCAAAGCACTGTTTTTGTTTTACAGACATTCATAAAATTTGAACCTTGGGGATCTGAGGAGCGCTTCTGTGCACAAAAATCTGCATACAAGTTACACAAATCCTGCAGACTTCACCCTGCAGAATGCATTCAGCTTCTAACTCTAGCCAATAGGAATCAGAGACAATGGCTGCTGCAGAGGGGCTGCGTGATCCAAGTGACCCCAGTAAAGATGACAAAAGGTTTTGTCTTGTTCAGTGGTAGAAAACAAGAACAGAAATTTCTGATACAAACATTGTTAGTTGGCATGAAACTCATGCATACACAAGCTACTAATATGCCAATAAAAACTACTAAGCAGGTTATTAAATTATTATTTGTATTTACACTTCAAAAGACTTACATAATGCTTCAGAAACATGCTTAACCTGTACCTAACTTGGAAGCCTTTGAAGCATTTGCCTCTATCTGTGTTCTCTACAGAGCCACTTATGACAATTAGCTCACTGGCTGTCTTAATTCTTGTACAAACCAGATGAAGTAGACATATAGCTGAAAAAATTACTACTTAACATGTACAAACATGAAGTAAACCAATGAAGTTACTGAGGGTTGGTGTGATGTTGATTTTCACACTTGAGGAAAACGCTGGGTAAGAAGCCAAATTTAAGGTGATGTTTTGCAGAGACTGATGGACTGCTATTTTCTAAGCAGAGAACAGTATGTTAAACGGTCATGATTTCTGTAAGAAATCAAAAACTGTACTTCAATGTCTGCTGTAATAAAAATATCACCACACAAAAGCAGTACTGTGTTCACATTTCAATGTTAGGTACTGTAGACAAATTGAAGCTGTTGTGTCACACAAAATGATTTCCCTTTCTGGAAAAAATAAAAGAGTTTTTGACATTGGTTTACAAGAATAACTAATGCAGTGGCATTTGTTGTTCCAAGTATGTATTACCTTTGCATGATCAATGCGAACAGAGAGCTCTTTTGATGCAAATCCACCAAAAATCAGGCTATGGATGGCTCCTATTCTTGCACATGCCAGCATGCAGCACACTGTCTGTGGAATCATAGGCATGTAGATGACCACTCGGTCTCCTTTCTTCACACCATGTCTGACCATGACATCAGCTAACTTGGACACCTGTACTGACAAAACATTCACAATATTAAAAGCTTTTCCTACAATCAACAGACTCAGCACATAAAGCAGACAAGCAAGTAAGACACAGAAAGTTGATGAACAATGCAACCCTCAGTCCAACTAGAAGTAACAGGAACAGGAGTTTTGTTTACAATAGTTTAACACCAGCAGTAAGACTAATAACTGAAATTGTCTGGGAAGTTCTTGGGGTATCAGAATACATATGTAAGTCTAAATTCAGAGAAAAGCAGTTGCTCTGTCTGACAGGGGAACTCTCACTCAATAGTAATAGTAGTTTTTTCCTTAGTAAGCTGTCATTCACTACAAAATACCACAATAAATATTAGAAATTATGAGATTCTAATTTGTTTCACTGTCATTGTGAATCTACTCATATATGAACACCTCACACCTGACCTATTATGCATTATTCTTTCTGTATTCATTATACCACACAGGTAAGGTTTTAAGTAAAGGTCAGCCTTGTGGAAGACTCTTACCATTCTGCACTATCAGACTGGGAAGAAAAGAAGGGTAACACAGACTCCTGAGAGCAGCAAGGGGATATGTCCTGTAGAATGAAAAATACCCACTTCCGAGCAACTCAAGCAAAAGCATGTTTTCAGTGACACAGCAAATAACATAAGCAATGGGAACAGCTTAGGCCAATCTTGTATAAGCACAAGAGGAAGGAAGGTTTTTCTTTTTGAAGGATGTACAATTCAGGAGAGCAGATCTGCCTTAAAACGTTTTACTTTCATTTATATTATTCTCCAAATTTGCATTTTCTCTATTTAAAGAGCTACTTTAATGCAGTTTAGCATTTTAAATATTAGTATCACTCTTACTTTCAGTGATTTGTAAGCATTCAGTGTTTTTTTTAGAGTCACATTGAATGTATTGAAGAGGGGCACAGCATTACCTCATTGCTTCTCTGTTCAGTAGAATCGCACATCTTTGTGGCCTGAGACTGGAATATCCAAGAGCTCCAGAAGCATCTGAGCTGTGTTTACATTAAACACACTGCTCAGAGTCTGCTGCTACAATCAGACTCTGCATATTTCTACACCTCTGCCTGAGGATTTAAGAAAACAGACCCAAGTATGCATACTCACATCAGAAGCCCCCCTTTTTTATAAGCACCACATAAATCCCTGCTGTTATTTTCAGCCACAAGACAGCATGTGTGTGTAAGGCAAAGTCATCAGAACGCCAAGTTGCAAACACACATAAATGTATGCAATTCATTCGTAATAGCCCTCTCATCTTAAATACAGCTCATTACCAGAATAAATATCTTTAATTCTAGACGTATTAATACCTGTCAATACACTAAAACAAATCAACAAGTCTTAGACATGCACACAGCCAAAGCAGGAAGGTTCAACCCATACTGCAAAACCAACAACATCCACCTCTGACATCACAGGCCAAAATAATAAAATATGAGGCACTACTTTCAGAGCAACCCTCATAAAACACTGCCTCCACCTGCAACTTCTTGGAAGATTGTGGAACATCATAAAACATGTTTACATTGCCCTCAGGATTGATGTGAAAACCCTGAAACATTCAAGCAATCATTCTAAAACAGAAAAAAAGTGGGAGTATGAACATTTCATAAAACTGTTAAAAGCCATGAAACTTCTCAGTTTGTAACAGTACGTTCTCATTTATGGCTTACATAAAGAAAGCATATTTCATCACTCATGATTTTACACTTGTTATTTCCCTACCAGCATGCTGTTTCTCTACTTTGCTTCAAAGTTTAAGATTGCTCCATTGCCTTAACATATTTGACACCTCAGTAATAAAATTGCTTTCGACAAGTGATATAATAAGAGACTGAAGCAGACTCTCAGATTTGAAGATCTGGACTTAAATTACACTTACATCAAACACAAGCCCTAGTGAGCATGTTTTATTTGCACCCAGCCACCAAACAAATAATATCTGTATTAGCAGTTCAGGTTTTGAGACACTGCTATTCTGAAGCAAACCAGCTGGCTGGCCCCAGTGGTTCAAAATGCAGTTTTGGTCCCCATCACAAGAATTCTGTTTAGAAGATACTAATCACAGAATCACAGAATTGTAGGGGTTGGAAGGGACCTCCATAGATCATCGAGTCCAACCCCTCTGCCAAAGCAGGTTCCCTACAGTAGGTCGCACAGGTCGGCATCCAGGCGAGACTTGAACATCTCCAGAGAAGGAGACTCCACCACCTCCCTGGGCAGCCTGTTCCAGTGCTCCGTCACCTCACTGTAAAGAAGTTCTTGTGCACATTTGTGCAGAACTTCCTGTGCTGCAGTTTCTGGCCGTTTCCCCTTGTCCTGTCTCCACACACTGCTGAAGAGTCCGGCCTCGCCATTCTGCCCCCCACACCTTAGATATTTATAGACCTGGATCAGGTCCCCTCTCAGTCTTCTTTTCTCAAGGCTGAACAGACCCAGATCACTCAGCCTTTCCTCATAGGAGAGATGCTCCAGGCCCTTCACCATCTTTGTGGCCCTCCGCTGGACTCTTTCCAAGAGATCCCTGTCTTTTTTGTACTGGGGAGCCCAGAACTGGACGCAGTTCTACCAAACTGAAAATTTCACTCCAAATGGTTAAAAGAGGAATTCCAAACCTTACTGGTTTAAACAACGCCTGGGTCTCAGCAGAGTACAGTCCCTCATCATAGGCTAAACATAAAAAGATTCTTCAAATACTGAGAGCTTCTGAAACATCCCAAAGTGCACCTTTTGCTGTAAAAAGAGCTGTGTCACATATGCATGCCTCTAAACCAAAGACAGCAACCCTTCCTCTCCTCATATATCACCATGTTCATATCAGGGAGATATCTTTCAAGGACAAGCATATCTTTTGGGACAAGCATAGATATTGTCCATTTTCCTTTCTGTTTTGGGATACTGGCTGTGGGACACATGCCTCCTAGAAGGGAGGAGAAAGAGGAGGAGATGGAGATTCTGTAACACTTACCAACTCAGCATGGATTTTGTGTTTGCTCAGAAGCAACGCCACAGCATCCACTCTACACAAGAGGGGAGTTCTAGACCAACATTTTCCTCAGAAGGAATACTGAGGGACACCATAGTGCTCTGTAAAACTCCTGCAGCACCTGAGTTCCCTCACATTAGTCGGCCAATATCCACAGACTGAGAGAGTAATCAAGCAGCAGTGAGACAGATGAAAGGAAAGCACAGAGCTTTCTAAAGGCATCTACAAGTCAAGGATGGAAAGATGTGTGCAACAGATAGATTCAGACTGCTTTGAAGTGAGTCATGGGACATTTGGTTCAAACTAAACCTATTCCAAATTAAAGCCAGCAAACCACATACAGAGGAAATGTCAGGAGCCTCAGCAATCAATTCAACATGGCTTTGCTACATTCATCTGCCAGTACTGCACCAAATTATACACTACTGCAGGCATCATCGATGTTGACGTGATCCTGTAGAGCTATCTTAAGTCAAGGGAGATCAAGTTCCTGCTACTTTTTCTGACTTCGAAGATGATTTGGAAGCCTTTTGTGTGGAATGTGAAAAACCCAAGACACCACTCTTCCTAAATGCCTGGTTAGTCTCATCCCTTACAGAATACTAATACTGGTATTTCTGAAGAGCTACCTCTGTGACAGCACAGTTAAGTCTTCCCAGGACATCCACTGAAGAATGACACTCGAAATTTGAGTAAGAAAATGAAAAACAGCATTAAACAAAAAAAAAAAGACTAATACATAATACTGTCAAAATAATTTTGCTTTAACAATCAGGATAAAAAATTAGACTGTCAGTTTCAGTAGGATTTTCTATATTCAGTTTTGATCTGGTAAGTACTTCTTTTAAGTACTTCTGAGAGTGAATGTCTTGAAATGAAAGGAATTGGTCACTTCTGCAGGGAGAAGGCAAAGAAAGAACGTGGAGTAAAGCGTGGAGAATGAGAAAGACTGCTGGAAGCAAAGCAATCTAGGTGATAGTTCAGTCATATACAGAGGAGATGCAAAGCAAGACAGACACAGCTACAACCTGAAAATGGCTAATACAGCAATCTCAGAAGGAGATGCTGTTAGAGTGGGTAATTATAGAAAAAAATCCATCCTACAGAATAAATTACATCCTAACCCAATGTCAATAACCCTGAAACCTTTCTCTCATCCATGTTTCTGTAACATTCAGTGCTGAGAGGGACTCAGCCTGGGGCGGAAAGGAGGGTTGGTTTTCAGTAATCCTCAGGTTGCTATGCTCAGGAATTATTTATTACAGAACCAAATTCAGCACGCTAACTGTGCATTGTCACTGAAAAGAATGACAAAGAGACATCATACTTGTTTTGTGTAAAATATCTGTCATGTGTCAACATCTGCAAATGTGGTACTCAAATTCTTGAGACGTTTTTCAGCAAGGGAGGCCTCAGTCATGTAAACAGAAACGTTTGTTTCCACGCACATAACAATCTATGCCTTAACCTGAAAATGGTAGCATTTTCCAACACAATCAGAAAGTTTACTTTTAAATGAACAGAATCCATTGCTCCCTATTTCTTCTGGGTAACTAACACTGCAGTGATTCAGCAGCATTTCTAAAAGAATTCATGTCTCCATTATCTTTTCCAGGCATCTCACTACTGGAATTTGAGAATACCCCAAGGCATATACAAAGCTGAAACTTTCATCGCACCATTGCAGTGGTTCGACGCTGTAATCCTCACGTAAAGACTTCTAACAAGCACCAGTACAGGAAATAAGTCAAATTGGCACACTCTCAGAGACCATCACATCTCCAGTTTTCCAAAGTCCTACTCTCTGCGTTTGCAGCATTCCATCTGTAACAGCATATAATTAATACAATATGATTGTATGCACTAAATAAAATTTCACTTTAACAAACTGTGACAGTGCCAAGGCATTCCACGTGCAGCAGTACAGTGTATCAACAGATCTCGCCATTCCCAACAAAGAACTGCTGAAATTGCCCTGCAATTCCTATGTTCCAGCTCTGCCTTAAAACAAAAAAAAAAAAACAAAGCACAAACTTTTCCACAGGTCTGGCACTAAACAACCACAAGCTTCCAAAATTTCTCTCGGTTACTTATAATTTAGTGATGCTTGACTTTAATTGCAACATCATTGTAGCTTTTACATCTGAACTGTTGTGCAATGAGTAAAAAGGATAATGGGAGAACAGCAGGCATCCTGAGCACATAGCTCAAGCCATCCTACCCTCTTTAAGAGGCTGCATTATCTCCAACCAAGCACCTATTTTGTTTTTCCATCCTTACCATGTATTTGATCCTTGGACACACTGTCCAACTTGGTACAAAATTCTGCATCTTCCAACCCTGTGACCACAGCTACTCTGCATATCTTCTAGTAAATCCACCTATGAATTCCTCTTTTTTTAGCAAAAGCCAGAAAGAATTCCATTGCTTCAAATGTCTCTTGTATGGACATTCTGAACAGGCAGCCTATCTGATAAGATATTCTCACTGAAATATCAGCTTAATGGCTAGAAAGACTACTAAACATTCATCGGATGGGTACACTGCAGACTACAGTTTGCACACAGATTTACACTGTCAGCCTATTTTAAATTGAGAAAGAAATTCAAGACGGAAAGCATAAAGCTTCTTTCCAGGGTACTGCTCTGTTTGTATGTATAGTCTACACTTAGACCGATCTGTAACGAAACATGCAAAGCACTGAAAGCCTATTTCAGCTCTAGCATACAGTACGTTTAGCTTGTGCTGAGCAGACTGAAAACACAGCAACAAGTGATGATGGAGGGATGTGAGCCAAACAAGGTAAGCCACACCCTCAGTGGTTTGGTGTGCCTCTTCTCAAAATCTCTCCTCATCTCTACATAATCTACGACACAAAACACACAAGCAAATATGTCTGCAGTTTTCAGCCAACATCTTTGTGGGTATGTTTGTTTTCTGGTATCCAGCAATGACCAGATGAACCAAGTTAAGTTCCACAACAATGGACCAGAAAGCTGCAAGAGAAGTTATTAATCTTAAATCCTGCCTTTCATGATAACACTCCCTTTTAATTAAAGAGAACAAGCTACAGAATTTCAAACTCTGCACATATGTCTGATTACACTTTTCTGGATAGAATCAGATGGTTATCCCACTATTCTAGGTCAGAGTAAGCTAAAGGTAAGCTGGGTTGGCTCCCTCAGACCTTCCACACAGAGAACCAGCACGGGCCACCAGCACTCCCACTGCAGCCTCAAGCAGGCATGCAATGCAGCTCTCCTTAGAGATGCTTCCTGCTAACGTTGGATTTGTTTTTACACTCAATCATGTACAGCCATAATCAAGGTATGTACCTTCGCCTCTGCTATAGTGGCATTTTTGTTCATCATAGCAACTCACTGTCATGCAGCTTGATAAATATTTTGAATTCTTTCATGCACAGAAAATAAGGGCTATTAGAAAAAAAAAAAAAAGAAAAAAGAAAAAAGAAAAAAAAAGAAATTCAAGAGTGAAAAGTTCAGGATGTAACCAACCAGAACAAAAAATATTTAACTGCAGGAAAAAAAAAATAAAGGAAGATCAAAACCTCTCAGATACACTATTATTTGATGCAAGCAGTGAAGCTTACAAATCAATACCAAGCACAACAAAAGGAATAAACTAGAAAGATAGACCATTTTTACCTCCCTAATATCCACCTGCTGTGCAATATTTCCAGCCTATTTCCAGTAACAAGGTTATTCTCAAACGTACCTGTTCAAGGAGTTCTTTGTAAGTTATTTTCTCTTTGGTATTTGTTACAGGACTGTCATAAATAATGGCAGTGTGGTCTCCTCGTCCATTCTCAACGTGACGATCAACAGCATTGTAACAGATATTCAGTTCTCCGCCGACAAACCTAAAAAAGAAGTTGGGAGAATACAGCAGGCAACTTTCGCAGAACTGAGACAGGGTTGATTCTTGAAGTAGAGATCAAAACTTTACACTCAGTACAGGAAGTCTTTTTTTTATTCTAGAATCACCCAATTTACTGAAAAAGATAAATAAGCTCATTATTTAAATCAGTAAAAAAAAGTGAAGTATTTCCACCTTAACTGACTTAACTAAGAATCCACTAAACTTGATCGTGATTTGAATTCCTTTGCATCAATCATTTTGATTTTTATAGCTAAGACTTCAGGGAACAAGACATACATTCACGTAAAACAGTTTGACATTATGAACATATCTTATTACACTACTTTGTACTGGCATGCACGTGTACCTTTTTTATGAAGAACCGGCTCAAGACACAAAATGTTCTAATTCACACGTTGGCAGTAGCAGTTAAGCACGCACACATCTGTATCCAAGTGAAACTGACCCCAACAGTCATAAAAGCTTATAAATTTGTCTGATATTCTGAACACACTTGACATTACCATGGGCTACGTCAGTGACTTAAAAGCCTCTGTAAAGGAGTGTGAGTCACGGTCTCTTCAACAGCCAGACATTTAGAAAAAAATCTCTTCTAATTAAAAAAAAAAAAAGTCACCTGCACAAACTCTGGTTTTACTTTCAATGCAATTTTACAAAGAAAATTCAAGCGTGCCACAGTCCTCAAGAAAACGCAGAAGGCACCATATGCTACAATTACTACTAGCAAAGAAGACACAGAATTGAAGTTACCCAAAACGATGCTCTCCTTTGTGCTTTGCTATCTATCTACAGCAAAAAGAAGAGCAACAGAAAAAAATGCAGCCAAGTTTTCAAAAATGCTATGGGGATGCTCACTGACATAATGTCTTGTTGTAACGTAAAAGATAAAAACAGATGGCCTAAAATAACCCATAACTAATTAAAAGAGAGCATTTTCCTTCCCATATAGTACAGGACCTCTCTAAAGTAGGATATATGATGTATTTTTCATATATCCATATGCACAGATTAGTCCCTATTGTCAAAGAATGGCAATTATTAAGCTCAGCCCAATTAGGATGTCAGGACATAGCAATCTTCTACTGTGATTTGTTTACAATGCCATTGATAAGGAGAAGTGGAAGAGCAAGAAAGAAACAAAAAAGACTGTTGTGGTTTAACCTGGCAGGTGGCTGAGCACCAGGCTTCATTTGCTCATTCTTCCCCTCCCCAGTGGGATGGGGGAGAGCATCAGGTTAAGAAAAACAAAGTAGAACTCATGGGTTGAGATAAAACTATTTACTAAGATAGAGGAAAGGAAAATACTTATGACTCTCTCTCTCTCTATATATATATACAAAAAAATGCATGTATATAACATGTGATGTACAAGCAAATGTTCACCTCACCCCAATCAATGCTCTGCCAACCCCTCGAGCAGTGGAAGAAAATCAGATGAACTCCCACCCCCTTCAAAACTTCTTCCACATAATGTCACATGGTATGGAATATCCCTTTGGCCAGTTTAAGCCAGCTGTGCTAATTCTGTTTCCCCCCAGCTCCCCAGGGCCCTCAGTGTAAATGGCCTTGGCTTTGCACAACACTGCTTAGCAGCAGCTATAAACATCAGTATGTTATCAACATTGTTTTTCTCCTAGAACCAAAACACAGCATCATACCAGACTCTCTGAAGAAAACTATTCTGTTCCACTGAAACTAAGACAAACATTCTGTACCATAAAACCCTCCCCATAAAAGAAGAACTGATGGATAATAAAAGACTGTCAGTTGCTTCAGGTAACACAGAGAAACTCTGTATAACTGCCATAATGGCCGTGTAGGAATCAGGACATCCATGGATTTTTATATCAAATCCCTGTAGGATGATAAGAACAATTCTGTTTAAGAAACATGTAGATGTTGCTGTAAGGGAAGTGGTATAGTGGAGAAATATTGGTGGTAGATGGATGGCTGGACTGGATGATCTTGGAGGTCTTTTCCAGCCCTGGTGATTCCATCCTTCTACGAATGAGAGCACAACATCTGGGTTATCACGCATAACTACTTAAGAATGGTGAAAATGTGAGGGGTAGAAGAGCTCGGACTCTCAGAAAGATGCATGACAAGTTCAGCACTGCCGTGCTTTATAATGACTGCTTGTGAAAAATGTGAGGCTGAGGGTTGAAAGCAACCCCACGGTATTCAGATGGTGTGACGAGAGCTCTGCAAAGGGAAGGAGGAACACAGGCTGCCATGGGCCCAGAAGGCAGCAGTGTGCAGCTCACCTGCTATGGCCACAGCCACAGCTCTTCTGCTTCTCTGCTGGTCACACACGGGCGTGTTGGAGCACCCCATTCTGTATGGCAAATAAACTGCCTGGCCTTGAAAAGCTGCATTGTGCTGCTGCAAATTTCTGTTCATTCAGTGATTCCCAAAGAGATGAATATCTCTGAAGAACACAGAATTGCTCAGGTTGGTAAAGACCTTAAAGATCACCAAGTCTGACCACATCAATTTTTTTGAATGAGCTCTAGGAGGAAAGCAACATCAGCATAAAAGCAGGACACAGTCCTGAAAATAAAGGCACTGATTTGAAAAAGAGTTCTAGAACTGAAAATGCAGTATTCCAATAGACTGCAGAAAGATATGGGATGAATCTGCAGGATAAGAGCTGCAAGTGAATTTTGCCATAACAAGTAAGGCTGTAAAATGCTAATCTGTTGCTAACCAGACATTTCTTTCAACACAGCATGCAAACTGAATTCCTGGTCAAAAATCATTCCTTTAGACTACATTCCTAGTGCTGAGAAGTGAGTAACATTTAGCAAATGGAGCCCAGAAAGAGTAGAACAGAAATAAAAAGAGCAAACAGTAATGAGTCTAACGCACAAAGGAGACTGGCTGCAGGCTCTTTGAAGAGCTCACCTGCTGCCCCTTTCTGCAGTAAAATGTCAGGGTTCTTCTGCCAACACCACAGCAGGATTTACATGTTGGCTGTAACAATGCAACTGTTTGTTTCACAGCAACTTTTTTTTTTTTTTTTTAATTGGATTTGGCCAATATCTACCTCTTTTTGATAACTCTTCCTGTCCACCATCAGTTTCAATAGGGCCAAGTGTCAGGTGCTGCATTTTGGTCACAACAACCCCAGGCAACCCTACAGGCTCGGGGAGTGGCTGGAAAGCTGCCTGATGGAAAGGGACCTTGGTGTACTGATGGACAGTTGGCTGAATATGAGCCAGCAGTGTGCCCAGGTGGCCAAGAAGGCCAATGCATCCTGGCTTGTATCGGGAATGGTGTGGTGAGCAGGACTAGGGAAGTCATCCTGCCCCTTGGCATTGCTGAGGCCTCACCTCGAGTAGTGTGTTAAGTTTTGGGCACCTCAGTACAGAAAGGACATTGAGGTGCTGGAGCAGGTCCAAAGAATGGCAGCAAGGCTTGTGAAGGACTTGGAGAATATGCCCTATGAGTAATAACTGAAGGAGCTGGGGCTGTTTAGTCTGAGGAGAAAGAGGCTGAGGGGAGACGTTATTGCTGTCTTCCAGTATCTGAAAGGTGCTCATAGCAAGAGCGGGGTTGGTCTCTTCTCACTGGTGACATGATTATTGGAAAGGGCCTCAAGTTGTGCCAGGGTAAGTTTAGGCTGGATATCAGGAAACAGTTCTTTACAGAAAGGGTTGTTAAGCACTGGACTCCCCAGGGAGATGGTTGAGTCACCATCCCTGAATGTGCTTAAAAACCATTTGTATGTGGTGCTCAGAGACGTGATTGAGCCATAGGTTGTTAGAGTTCAGGTAGTGTGGTTATGTTGTGGTTGGTCTTTATGACCTTGAAGGTCTTTTCCAACCTGAGCAATCCTACAGTTCTATGACCCCTGAAAGCAGTAGCCTTTGATAACCCACATGATGACTAACTTTCCTCAAACAATACACCTGTGCAGTGATTCCAGCAGTTACCACATTAGGACACTGTGAGCCCCTGAAGAGCTGCTGCAGCCTCCCATGGCCTGGCGCTACGTCTTCTGTAATAGGCCTTCAATTACACAGAGCTTAATATGTGCCGTAAGTGACCAGGGAATGTTTTTACTGCGTTCAAAATTTGTTTTCATCTGTCAATAGTGATGAAACTAGTCTTGAAGAAGGCCATGCATAATTATCACTTAACTCAATTCTCAAAATGTATGTCTTAATTTCCAATAATATCTGCTATCTTCAGAATCGAACAGGATTCCGAGAATTTTCAGGCTCTGTTCAAATGGCTCAGGAGCAATGATAGTTAAGAAAAATGCACGCTGAAGGTTTTGAATAAATCCAGAATACATGCAAGAGAAAAATCTACACTGTAATTGCACTCTGACTGTTTAAAAAAAAAAAAAAAAAAAAAAAAAAAGCATGGTGCTAAAACCCTGTGACATCATGCAGGGCACCAGTACTTCTCCAGCCTGAGTTTCCAGGCGTTAAATGGATTTCTTTTAAAATGCTTAGATGAAGGCAGAACAGACGCTGAATGAAGTGATAGACAAAGCCTCTACACAGCACCACATATTTTAAGATAACAGTATGTTAGTTGATCTAGCCACACTTTAACAAGTGTAAGCAGCATTTAAATAGTCATCTGGGTAACATTCAGAAGTTCAAAGGTGATGTTATGTTACGTTTAATGTCTTGGAATCACAGAAAAACACAGCTTGTAAATTGCCCCCTGCCTGCACTAGTCAGGGAAAACTGTTTCTACCACTCCTAAGAAAAAACCTGCCTAATCCAACTGTATTTCCACATGATCCCCAAATGATCTGTTCTAGAGTTCCACCACCATTCGCACTGAACAGATTTTTTCTTCCCATTTGGAATGCCATTTACACAATCCTGCAGTGTGCAATAGGAGAGTCTAAAGAAAGCCTGCTAGGGTATGCTTATGTTTCTGTTAGGCTCTTACAGCATTTAGAGAAGCAGAATTAGGATTAGAAACCTATTTAGAAAAAAGTTCTATTTAGAAACCTAATTAGAAAAAAGTTTCAGCTGTGCTAACCACTTTCTTCAAGTAAAATAAAAGGGACCAGCAAATACAGAGTGTCTGTTTTGTCTGTCAGGCTTGGCAACAAAACACAATGATACTGAAAATAAAGCACACATTAATTGATCTAATAATATGCATCCAACACATTTTCTAACTCAAGAAGCACATACAAGAATTTCTTAATGGTACTTCAAAGTTCCATAAACTGCTTCCCAGGCAAAGTACAGAACCACATCTTTTCTCTGTTAGATCAGCAAACAGTTTTTCTCTGAAGCCTGGCATCGTGTTCAGTTCTGCTATGTTTTAACTGTTTTCTCTTCAGAAAGTACTCTCAACGAGGCTCTTGTATCTTCTTTCTCTCTTAAACACAGTCCTGTCCTCAAAGAGCCTATCTATCCCTTGTCCTGGGGAGCACACAGGATACTGGCAACCATCTGAGTCTTCAGAGGCAGAATACTCTGGGATCCCTTGCAGCCCAGTATCTCTTAACATAAAGGAAAAAAAAAAAAAAAAAAAGGAAGAAAATTGCATGTTGTGCATTAAGTTGATAAAGAGAATTTAAAAAAATAAATTGATTTACTTGAAGTTTTATGACCCATGACAGGTCAACAGATATCTGACATCCAAACAGTAACTATGGGCCTCACTTGGACTTTTCAGTGATGTGCACCTTTGTAAAATCCTACAGGATCCCAGAACAGCTGAGGTTGGCAGGGCCCTCCGGGTGCACCTGCTCTGAACTCTGCTCCAGCATGTACACCCAGAGCAGCATGCCCAAGCCCATGTGCACGTAGCTTTGGAAGATCTCCAAGGAGGAGACTCCAAAGTCTCCTGGGCAGCCTGTGCCAGTGCACTGTCATCCAGACAGCCTGGAATTCTTTTCTGGGGTTCAGGGGGAACCTCTTGTGTTCCAGGTTTTGCCCACTGCCTCTTGTCTTGGCACTGGGCACCACCTGACTCTAATATCCTTCAGGTACTTGCATACACTGATGAGATGATTTCAGTCTGTGGCTATCTGCATCCACAGAGATAAAGATGCCAGCGGGACGGAAAGTCAGAAAAGGCCACTGGAAGATAAATCTGACTTCAGCCCAAATAACTTGATCCAGGTAACTCTGTCATGAGAACAAATTACTCCCACCTGAGAAACCAAAATGCTTTAAAAAGACTGAACCACATCAATTCCAGCCAGCAAGCTTACTATATCAAGCTACATCAGTTTGACAGGACCTGACAACAAAACTGTGCTCACCATCATTGCTAATATTCTTTAATTCTTAAAAAGTAACTTTAAAGTTGTTGCAACAACTTTTCATTACTTTATTCAAGCATGCCAAGGAGCTTTAGTGGTTCTTAACTGTGCAGGCAACTCTGCTTGCCCTTTTGGAATAGTACCACGGCCTCAAAGGCCAGTGGACCACAGGTCTCCTTATCCATCCATTCTAAGACTCCTGACTGTTATGTAGCCCCGCTGACTTAAGGAGATTTATCCCAGCTGGGTGCTGCTTAACATTCAGTTTAAGAGATAGAAACAATTTTCACTGGGAAAGCTGCTAACCAATAACCACAGCCAGCAATGAGAATGTAAGCTTCACGTTGCTGGCTCTGTGTCTCCTCATTTTGACAGATTTTAGAGTGATTAATAGTTTTAATTACGTTTTGAAAAAGCTTAGTATTTTTAAATTAAAATCAAGTCAGAAAAACACAGAAAAAAAGCCAAGAACATCGATGTGAAAAAGATGACCCCCTGCCTTGCTTTCTTTATCTTGCATGAGCTTCTCCTTGGAAGGAGATTGAAGAGCATGAGATAAACTTGCTGAAAAGGCATTATGGTGGTCGTGACAAAACTTTAACGGGCAAGCTGCCTTTGAAGAAGTATTGAAAATCCTCTCCTGCACTTTACAAGAAGGACGTTAGTTCTGTTTTGGATCAGGCTGCCATTCACCACACACAGCACACTACGAACACACTGCCGTAACCACGTCGTCAGAGTAACGACCCACTGAGCCAACTCCTACCATTGCACAGCCCCATAAGTCTCTGTATTCGCACACGTCGCTGCCCGCCCTCCGCCGTGGCCAGGCTCCCGTGCTCCCCGCAGCCCGACGGAGCAGTAGGCACACCGCCGGCCACCTGCATCACGCACAGGTCTGTGGCGAACTCCCTTCACTCCAACGCACTCCTCCACTCCGATTTCAGTTGTTAAGCCGGTGTAACCGTAATCTCCGCTGACCTCTGCAGCCGTCCCCCCCGCGGCGGGCTGGTTGCCTCGAGCAGTTCGTGCAGCCCCGCCCGCCCGCGGCTCTCCCCGCCGTGCCCCGCACTCACCACGAGTCGCTGCCCGGGCCGCGCCTCTCCAGAGCCCTGGCCCAGGGCTTGGACCACTGGATCAGCTCGGCGGCAGCTCCCCAAACTTTTTCAGGCTCCGCCACCGAGGCCCTGAACACTTCCCCGTACTGTCCCAGCGCCGGCGAAGAGGCGGCGGCGCGGGCCGGTGGTCGGCTCCCTGCGCAGGGCCGCCCTAGCCACCGCCGGACAGCGCCGCCGCCCCCTGCCAGCGCCGCCAGCCTGCCCAGCAGCCCCATGGCGCGGCCTCACGGCGCGGTTTCGCAAACTAACGCTCGGAGCAGCCCCTGGCCCGCGGCGGCTCCCCTGCGACGAGCGGGGCTGCCCAACGACGGCTCCGACGTTCCGTGGCCAGCAGCTGCCCCAGTCAAGCGGCCGCACTCGGGAACGACGCGGAGCAACGCGGCCGGACCCCGCCGAGCGGGGCGGGCTGGTGGCCGGGGCTGCGCCCCCGGGGGCCGGGCTGGGACTGGCCTGGCGCCATCTCTGGGGCTGCGGCTCTGCGGGGCTCGGGGGCGGGCGAGGGCCAGCGCTGGCGGGAGCGGAGCCTCGTGGGTGTACAGAGGCCGGTGGAGAGAGAGGAACCCGGCAATGTTTACCCTTCTATCTCACGCATCAGGCACTTCGGGTTCCTGGTCTCTTGACGCAGACGTTGGCCGTTTTTCCACATCTGAACATTTTTTTCTATCGAGTAAAATTCTTCTGCAGAAAGCAGGTATAATTTAAAGATTTTCCTGTTCATCGCTTTTTTTTTCTTTCTTCCTTGAGAAGTTTTTTGTGGTTGCACCAAGTCATCATTACTGCAAATAACACTTCTGAAACCACATCCACAAATGATAGACAGACAGACAGAAACCACCACCGAGTTTTGCTTGAGTGAAGAGGAACTTAGTATTCTGCGCAGAGATAAACTGAAAAGAGACAGAAAAACAAATTATTTCTTACTTAATAACTTGTGTGGCATACAGCCATAAAACTCGAGTGTTTATTTTGAAATACACTCTCGCTTTGAGAAAAGCTGGCAATGATAAAGTAGGTATACTGTATGGCACTTAAAACCTACACCAGCTTCTCAGACGTATTTTAGGGCTACTACTGCTGAGTTAGTACAAAAGAAGGTAAGCGTGTATCACATTACTGGCACAGCTGTGATTAGATTAGAGCTAGTCCGAATACTCACTACAATGGGTTTAATACATGAAATCAATTTCATTGCCTACCTCAAAAGAAAGAGGAAAAAAGAAAAAAAAAAAAAAAGGCATGAAGAATTTGATTTACAGATTTACAGTCACTCCACTTTTATTAGGTCACCTCCACATTCATGAACATGAAGGCTGATTGTCCTTTCATTTCTGAGGCATATGTAAGGAGCTCACTGGGTTCCCATGGCCTGCTGAGCCTGTTTTCTCTGCCCAGTGAGTGAGGCTCGCCTGTCCCACACTGCATTCCACACAATGCCACTGGCTCCCTCCCCACAACTGCAGTAACACAGCCCAAGCAACACGTTAGCGTTCAAGAATCACTTGCAATTAATTTAACCCTCTAAAGCACCTGAAGAACTATGCAGAGAAATGGTGAACATTTCCCTACTGCCAGGGAGAGGCTACAGCATGCCAACAAAGCAAGAACATAAAAAATGCATTTCTGGTTTAGAGATTACTTTTGAGAACATTGCTTTCTTATACATTTTGACCATGGTGTCAGAGCAATTGCTAGTAGAGTCCACAAAGCACAAATTAAAAGATAAATGAAAGAGAGAAGCTTATGGGGATTATAAACACTGTGACTTCCTGACAGCCCTGGACTCAGATGTCAGTGCTGAATGTCTGGCAGCATGGCATGTGTTGTCCAAAGGAACACTTACTTAGTGGTAACACACAATTGCTCTCAGGATTTAAAAAAGACTCCCAGAGGTTTGTCTTGTATTTCCTGCCTGTGAGGTGCCTAACCTCATTGTGACTGAAAATTCTGACTGAAAATAACCAATCTGACTGAAAACTGTCATGGGAACATGGAAATATGCTTTTAGATAGTTGGTTTTGTTTTTGTTGTTTTGTTTGACCATTTGTCTTCCTGTGAAGAAGATCAGCCTTAGTCCCATCAATGCCCACAAGCCCACTCTGGGCCGAGTTACATTGACTCTGCCTACCTGTGGCACCCAGCCTGGGCATTATGATTGCCTCAGCACAGTTTGCGAAGTTTGCTCCCCCAAAGCAAACTATTAGAGGTGTATATTACATCCACTCCCAAGGAGTAACCCTACTGATTAACCACTTCATGTGCTTCATTCTTCACATCACCAACGCTTTGATGTTCCACTGCTTTGCAGGAGGCCTATAGCAATTGTATGTAGCAATCAATGTGTCCATGACAGAAAACTGATGTTGAAACATGTCCCTTTTTATTACTGCAAATAAAACTGCTGAGGCCAAAGACTAGCTGAAATATTTAATTATCTGTGTTCTGTAACCTGTTAGTTGTAGGCACTAACGCTAAAAGTATCCTGATATTTAAACACATATGAGTAGTGTCAGGCAGTACCTAGTATTTCTTGTGGTATTGAAAAGCAATGCAATGTTTCCACTCAGCCCCTTATATACATTTAATATAAAAGTATAAGCTTTTGGCAAAGGAATTAGCTTTGAAACAGTAAATGCTCTGCTATTCATTTTGACAATGTGTCCTAGTAGAAATGATACACCAGAGATGCAGAGGAGACAAATGAATTTAATCAGAACATGAAGTACATTAAATTCCTATTTTAGGTAACATTCTCATATCTGTTTCCTAAAGGGATGTTTGAAATGAGTATCTGTGGAATATACTTCATTAATTAAACTACTCACAGCTCATACTGATATCTGAGGGGTGAAGAAGGGATTGCTAGCTCTCCCAATTGCATACTAGTAATTTAAGGTTCACTTACAAATGCTGTTATAGCAGATTTCTGAACTGCTGAATTTTCTCTCTCTAAGGACTTTTTTTTTTTTTTTTTTTTTTTTTTTTTTGCAAAAACTGACACTCCTGAAACTCACACTCAACACAGAATTTTGAAGCAATGCCTAGTGATGTGTGTAGCAATTACCCTTGTAGCTGCACTTCATTGTAAAACATATGCTTGTTTCTAGGTGCAGGTGTAGCAAAGAACAAAGTATGAAGCTTGGACTGCATATTTCTGCAATTTCAAAACAGTTTATCTGAAGCCTTTCTTTTGCTTATAAAAGCAAATTTTCTACAACAGTATCCTTTAAAGCAAGGTATGCATGTTTGAAGATATATGCATATTGAAAAAAGATGAGTTGAAAAGTATTATAAATTTTGTCTTCTATGTATGAAATATTCTGGCCGTTCTCATTAACTAGACCTTCTAACCCTGCTAATTCGAACTGCAGTTGGAGAGTCCACTAGGGAACAGGAAGCAGTACTGTAGATAAAGAGTTAGGATGTGTATTAACTCACTTTGTTATGGTTCTGTACCACCTTTTATCCAACTCCTAGACTGTATCTCTCTCAAAGAACTGCCAGTCTTATGTGAATAGATTTCAGAGTCTCTCGTGCTGTTAATGTTTGACAAGTAGAGATAGTCATGATTTTCTACACTATGTGTTAGTCAACAGAGCTAATTTCAAATCAAATAAACTTTTCCATTTTCCTGAAAGGTGAATGAAAGTAGTACATTTTAGGCACAAAAAAACATATACAGTTATTCTTCCAGTTTTCTACCCATCTTAAGTGTAGAACAGCTTTACTCAAAATGCACTAAAAATCTTATAGAGAATTCAATATAATAAAAGTATTGCTTGAAAAGATACCTGTCTGGACAGAACTCTTCAAACAGACATTTTGGCTGATGTTAGTTAACACAAAAGAGGCCATGGCTTTTTCTGCAATCATAAGATGTGCCCATAGAAGAGGAAATAAAATCACAATGGCCCACAGAAAAACCTGTACTTACTACTCTTCTTTGTTTGATTGCTGCTTTCTAGCCTAAAGCTGCCTTTGTGTCAGGGGTCTTTGGTCTGCCTAGTTTTCCAGCACTCAGAACAGTGAGTGGTATCAATGTCTACATCAGCGTGTCATGGTGGAGCACTTGTCAGCAAACTGAGTGCTGGAGTTCCATGTCCTCCTGTTTATTTCTCTCTTCCAAAAATGAGCACATTCACAAAAATGAACACAAAGTGTTTTGGGAAACAGAGGATGAGAACTTATAAAAATGCTAAAATATGTATCCTGCGGGAGAAGCCACTTTTCACAGGCTTGTGGGAAGCGTTGAAATGAAAGCCTGTGACTCAGTCCAGGTGAGAATGAGGCATGACATGACTTAGAGATCCTCTGGGATGAAAATGCAATTTTAGTATCAATTATTATTGATGTTATCACTTGATTTCTCCCCAGAGAGGTCTCACAGCTCAGGAGGACCTGTATTTCATCTATAGTTTTCCAGATTTAAGTTCAGTCATATACTTAACTTTATTCATGTGAGCAATCTTATTCACATGAGACCTTACTTAACCTGAGTCACTCTGTTCAGGCAGCTTCGATAAAACTTCTTGGCAATAAACTTCTACATTTTAGGCTCTAAGAAGACTTAGCAAATGAGAGAAGAAAAAACAGAGATTACAGGGATCATCTTAAAAACAAACAAACCTAAAAAAATAAGAACATACACACTAAAAAAAAACACAAAAAACTTACAAATCAAAGACATGAAAGCAAAGCAATTTCCTGCAAAAGCAAAATTATTCATGGTATGCTTAGTCTTTAGGTATGCTTGAGGAAAAGAATCCACAGTACATTTTATGGAGGACAGGTAGAATTTTAGCTTCTGCTTTGCACTCCTGCTGTTGTGGATTTAACTGAGAAGTTGATGATGTAATTTTATAAAGATTGGCATTGAACTTTGATTTTTATGTAATCCATGTCCCTGAGCTTTCCAGGTTCATGAAATTGCAGATTATTGATCGTTTCTACATGACTAAAATCTGCTTTTTTATCTAAATGCAGTCTCGTTTCTTTGATATGCCTCTACTACTGTTTTTTAGATCACTGCATTAGAGCCATCACAAGCAAAAGCTCAGTTATTAAAAATAGTTTATCATTCACTATATGTTGTTTGAAGGGGACAAAAGGACTTCGGGTACCTGCACTCTTGTTGATGTTACTTTTAAACAAAAATAGCCATGGATTTTGCAACCGCATTTTTACCGATAAATATTTTGTTTTTACAGAACTAAGACAGAGTCTGTTAGCCCTCTGAGTGTTAATGTCACTGGTGGCATACAAATTAAGGCATTTTACAACCACTTATAATACTGATATCTCTTATCAGCACATTCTCTATACTCCTCAAACTGAGAATACAGCCCAAG